TTGAGCTCGAGGTGGAAAGCAGTGATGGAGAAAAATAATATAAACTGCTAACACAGGGCATAGGAATATTAGACAACTCTACAAGCTTCCAAAGCTGCAGAATGTCATAAAAGATGTCATCACTTTACCACAGATCACATGAAAGAGCCCTTCTGATATATTTATCAGGCTAGTTGTTTTGTACTAAACATTGCCTTGGCTATCTTGATAAGGCACTTCTTTCAGTGTCACTTCCGTCAACAAATTATCTAGCATAAAACATTTAAATAATTTTATCATTTTAAGATATTTTAAAGATAAATTTAAAGATCATTTTAAGATATTTTGTGTAATTTTTTTCATTCCCTAGGTCCTCAGCAACTAAAGTTCTCTAGTCTTTAGAACTGGTCTTTTCTCCTCTCCTCAGTTATACCTCTGTCATATCTTCTGAAAGAATAGAAAAGGTTTGAATTTCATAGAATCATAAGCATTAGAATCATAAGTTTGGGTTTGAAGGAACCTCAAAGATGATCTCGTTCCAGCCCTACTGCCATGGGCAGGGACACCTTCTGCTAGATCAGGCTGCTGAAAGCTCCATCCAACCTGGGCTTGAACACTTCCCAGGGAGGAGGCATCCACTACTTTCCTAGGCAGCCTGTTCCAGCATCTCACCACCCTTACACTAAATAATTTATTACTAATGTCTAACCTAAATCTCTTCTTTCAGTTTAAAGCCATTACCCCTTGTCTTAACACTACAAGGCCTTGTAAAAAGTTCCTCCCTAGTTTTCCTGTAGGCCCCCTTCTAGTAAGAGTACATAGAGGTGTCCAAAATACCTTTCCTGGATCTCTTTTCCAACTGTTTTTTCCTATTTCAAGTGAATGCAGACAATTTTGTGGACATAAAAATGCATCCACCATTAATTCCAATTCTTTGTCTTCCACACAAGCAGTTTGAAAATGAAATGAAATAATGCTTTTCACACTATTCAATTAGTTAATTTCTGTTAGAGAGAACTCTCAGGCTCCACAATAAGCTGTGTGAACTGGCTATCAAGAGTATTTTATGCCTGTTGACAGAAGCATGCATCAAACAGAAACTGGGAACTACAGTAACAAATGGGAAGCACTGACAGCTTTTCCCTTGCAAGAAGCATATGTTGCCTTAATGACGTCCCACATGCTGCATTATCATCAGAAGAACCAAGCTACCTTAGCTGTGGGACTGGGCTGATTTATACAGCCAAGATTTGTTACACATTCTGTACTCCTGGGTGTTACTGGAATATTCAGACTCCTCCCCTACCTTTAAATTAACTATATATAGCAACTAGTGTAGAACCCTACTGCAGTTCCCCTAGCTTCTGCCTAAGGTGTAATTTTTATAAAGCATCTTAAAAAAAGCACTCTCCTTTTATTTTGAAGAATAAGTTGGGAGTTCTGCATAGGCAGAATATTAAGTTCTGATGTTCACTTTATTTGACTTAGCTACTGACTGTTCCTAGATATCAACCTGGATAAAACTCAGCAATGGAAATAAAAACCAGGCAGACTTGGGACAGACAGCAGTTTTTCAATTGTGTAATTGTCAAAATCACATTGACTTGTCACCTTCCTGGCTGTCACTGAAAGCAAGGACTTTTTGAAACCAAGATTTCCAACTTTCAATCCACTTTGTCTAGGACCTTTCCCAGGAAAATACACCAGTGACTAGAACGCACCTTTCAGATGGCAGACAAAAATAATCTCCCATTGCAGGGCTGTACAGGCTTTTTAAACTCATTTAAATACTATAGTGGTCTTACATAGCTATTTCTCCATACGAAGCAGCGGTACCATTTACAAAGCACATCTGACAAAACTCCAGATTTTGTTAGTTTATTTTGAAGTAGTTTGAGTCAGGCGCAGACCTGCTGTGACCCAGAAGCCGTCACTGCAGACACAGGGCTCCAGCGGGCTCCCC